TTTTCCCATATAACCATAAGTCTAGAGGCATAGAGTAGCTAGTGTTTGCTCAGTCATTCAGCAGTGTCAGGGGTAGTGTCTCTTGAATTCTTTGGACATTCTCCATTATTGCAAAATAGATGCCAGAATTCCTGGCAATGTACCACATTCAAGGCTGGAGTGGTATTGGGAAGGAAGCCAGGGAGTGCCACACCATCTGCCTCTTTTATCAGGAATGCAATATCTTTTCCCATGGCAATTTTTAGATTTAATTTGACACAACTGTGTTATATGATTATACTTAGGAAGCCAGGAAAGTGAGTATTTACCATTAGATAGCCCAAGTATTAGGGACAGACAAGGGAGAAGGGGTTGAAAATGGGTGTTGGATTAGTTAGCTAACGGTATCTACTACAAGTAAAAAAAGCCAAAAAAACAAAACAAACACACACACACCACACACACACACACACACACACACACACACACACAATCTTCAGTTAGATTGGTAGATTCACTAATGTTTTGGAAAATTTTAAAATAAATTAGTCATTGACTGAGAGATTTTTGTTTTCTTGTAGCTGTCAGTACTTCCTTCTGAGTCTTGCTAGGCTACCTTGAATTATGGTGTATTTCTATTAATAGTTCATTTTAAATGATTAGTAAATGTGGTAGGCAGAATAATGGTGACCCAAAGATGTCCATGCCCCAATTCCTAGGACCTGTGAATGTGTACATTATATGCTGAATGGGAATTAAGATTGCTAGACGGCATATAGGGAGATTATTCTGGATCATTCAGGTGGGCCCTTTAAGGAATAGACTTCTTAAAAATGGAAGTAGGATGCAGAAGAGACGTCAGTAAGGGATATGATGATGGAAACAAGGTCAGACATGCAGTGTTGCTGGATTTGGAGATGAGGGAAGAGGACCATGAGTCAAGGAATGTGGTAACCTCTAGAAACTGGAAAAAGCAAGGATTCACCCTTCTAGCCTCTGGAAAAGACTGTAGCCCTACTGATATCTTGGTTTTAGCCCAGTAAGACCTGTGTTGGACTTTTAACTTACATAACTGTAAGATAAAGAAATGAATTTTGTATTAGCCTCTAAGTTTGTGGTACTTTGTTACAGCAGCAGATAGAAGATTGTTGAAGGTTTTGGTACCTGGAAGTGGAGTGCTGCTGTAACAAATACCTAAAAATGTGGTAGTAGCTTTGGAATTATGCAGTGAGCACATCTGGAAGAATTTTGAGGCGCATGATAGGAAAAGGCTAGATTGCTATGAACAGACCATTAATAGAAATATGGTTGTTAATGACTCTATTAGACTAGAAAAAAGGGAGGAGCAGGATAGAGAAAACATTTATCTTCTTAGAGAATACCTAAATCATTGTGAACAGACAGTTGGTGGAAATACATTAAAGGTGCTGGCTCAGAGGAAAATGTTGGGAATTGGAGGAAAAGGGATCCCTATTATAGTGGCAGAAAGCTTGGCAGACTTGTGTACTGCAACTGTGTGGAAAGGAGGACTTATAAACAATGAACTTGGATGTTTAACCGAAGAGATTTCCAAGCAAAGTGTTGAAGGTGTGACCTGGTTTCTTTTTGCCACTAATTGTAAAATTTGAAAGTAGAGAAATAAGAGGAGACATTTTAAACAAAAAGGAACCAGGACTCAATGATTTTGGAAATTCTTAGCCTACCAAGTGGTAAAGGGTGCTGAAGTCAGGAGTTTCACGGTCAGGAAAATGTGCTCTAAAGAAAAAGCCAAAGGAATCACTGCACAACCTTTTGCTGAAACCTCAGAAAGATCAAAAGGTCAGAGCATTCACTCACACAGAACACTGAAAAGATCAAGTGGCGTGACTCATAGATTTCCTTAGCATCTAAGTAGAAGCCAGAAATAGAGATGAGATTATCTAGGCAAAATCTGTGGAGGAGCCTCTTGTCTAATAGATTGTGTCTCTGTAATTATACAGTAGACCCACAAGGTTTTTGAGAATCCTACATCAGCAGCAGCTCAAAGGGAGAGAGAGAGAGAGAGGATGAAGTGAAAGACTCAGGAGACAAAATTTCTCTTCATCTATGGACCTATGGAATTAGAAAAGAAATGAGAGGATAAAGTGAAAGAAGGCTATCAGAGCCTCAAAATTCTACAGGCAGGAATCAAGCCAATAAAACGACTCAGCTTTAAATACATGCAGGTTACCCTTTGTGAGAAAGGAAGGATGACTCTGAGGGCAAAGGGACAGTCCTATAGGGTGAAACTGAGAATGTTACAGAATTCTGCCCATGCAGAAACCTATTCCAGGTTGCCTAACTGTATTTCAGAATTGCTTGGGACCAGGGACATTTTCTCTTTCACTTTGTTTTATTTTGAATGGGAATATCTGCAACTGTATTCTATGGCAGTCCCATCCTTGTGTTTTGGGAGCGGGGGATTTCTTTTCTAATTCCATAGGTCCAAACATGGAGAGTAATTTTGCCTCACCATGGGTTATACCAAGAGTCTCACCCATACCAAATTTAGATTTTGATAATACTATTGGAATTTTTGAGTCCATGAGATTTAGATGAGATTTTAGGCTTTGAATTGATGCTACAGTGTATTGTTGAGACTTTGGGGGGATCTTGGAAGCGGGGGGTGAATGAATATATTTTGCTTGCAAAATGGACACAGCCCTGACACAGTGATTTTAGCCCAGTGAGATTTTATGTTGGACTTCTAAACTACAGAACTGAAAATAATAAATTCATGTTGTTTTAAGTCACTAATTTGTGGTGATTTGTTATAGCAGGAATAGAAAACTAATATTATAGACGACCTTTCTGTATGCATACAGAATTTGTTGGCTTGGCAAGAAACCATGGAGATTAAAAAAAAAGCTGAAGGCATATACTTCACAAAAGAATATAAACAAATGGCCAATAAGCACAATGTTCTCAACATTATCAGTCATTAAGGAAATGCAAAATAAAATCTTAATAAGATATGGAATACCCACTAGAATGGTTAAAACAAAAAAGCTTGACAATACTAAAATAAAAAAGTCTATTCCAATACTGAATGTATGGAACAATTGAAACTCTCATACATTGTAGATAGGAATGTAGAATGATGCAACCACCTTAGAAAAGTTTTGGCAGTTTCTTATAAAGTTAACTATATACCTGCCTTGTGACCAGTAATACCCCTTCTAGGTATTTACTGAAGGAAAATGAACACATATGGGCACAAAAAGACTGTAAAAGAATGTCATAACAGCCTTATGAGGGTTCTTCAAAGAGTTTATAGGAAATATGTGTTATGAAAAAATATCCATGGAGTTTGTATTAGTCTGTTTTCATACTGCTATAAAGATACTACCTGAAGCCAGGCACAGTGGCTCCCACCTGTGATTCTAGCACTTTGGGAACCTAAGGTGGGTGAATCTCTTTAGGTCAGTAGTTTGAGACCAGCCTGGCCAACATAGGGAAACCCCATCTAAAAATAGAAAAATTAGCTGGGTGTTGTGGTACACGCTTGTAGTCCCAGCTGCTCAGGAGGCTGAGGCAGAAGAATTGCTTGAACCTGGGAGGTGTAGATTGCAGTGAGCCAGGATCACACCACTGCACTCCAGCCTGGACGAAAGAGTGAGACTCCATCTTTAAGAAAAAAAAAAAGAAAGAAAGAAAGATACTGTCCAAGACTGGGTAATTTATAAAGGAAAGGGGTTTAATTGACTCACAGTTCAGCATGGGGAGGCCTTAGGAGACTTAAAATCATGGCAGAAGGGGAAGCAGGCACATCTTACATGGCAGCAGGAGATGGAAGAGAGTGAATGCACATAAAAACTGCCATTTATAAAACCATCAGATCTCAAGAGAACTCACTCACTGTCACAAGAACAGCATGAGAGAAACTGCCCCCATGATCCAGTCACCTACCTCCCTTAATATGTTGGGATTATAATTTGAGATGAGATTTGGGTGGAAACAACCGAGCCAAATCATGTCAGAGTTCATTTTTTTTTGCACTAAAGTATAAACTCATACTAACTTGTTACAGCGTGTGAACAGTATCTAGTTTGAGACACTAATACATCTGTTTGAAAATAATCCCTTTCAGAGCAACATCAGTTCTGCTAAAATTGAAACAAGAACAAACATTAAATTTATGGTGAACTTTGGTTAGAAGAATGGTGAGATTATTGATACGTTACAAAAAAGCATGGGAACAGTGACCCAAAGAAATCAGCAGTTTATAAATGTGTAAGTTGTATTGAGAAGGGATGAGACAGTGTTGAACATGAAGCCCTTCATCTTCAGCAGCAGACCATCTACATCAATTTGTGAAACTGACGATTAATAGCAGCAATAGCCAACGTATAGACACCTCATTTGGTTCAGCCATACCCAGTGCTGACTGAAAAAATTAAAGTTGAGCAAACTATTTAATGGGTGCCAAAACTGTTGCATCCAGATTGGCTGCAGAGAAGAGCAGAGCTTTAAATGGAAGTTTTAAACAAGTGAGATCAAGATCCTGAAGCATTTCCTTGATGAATTGTAATGGGAGAAGAAACATGGCTAGCAGTCCAGTCCTGAAGACAAAGTACAATCAAAGCAGTAGCTTCCAAGAGGTAGAAGTGGTCTATCAAAGCAAAAGTGGACCATCAAAAGCAAAAGTCACGGCAACAGTTTTTGGGGATGCTTGAAGCATTTTGCTTGTTGACTTTCTGGAGGGCCAACGAGTGATCATAGCTTATTATGAGAGTATTTAGAGAAAGTTGGCCAAAGCTTTAGTAGAAAAACACTTAATGGAAAAGCTTCACCAGAGAGCTCTTTTCCACCACGACAATGCTTCTGTTCATTTCTCATCAAAAAGGGCAGTTTTGCAAGAGAGTGTCCATGGAAAATCATTAGGCGTCTACCTTAGAGTTTTTATCTGGCTGCTTCAGACTTTCTTTTGCTTCCTAATCTTGAAAAAAATCTCTAAAGGGCACCCATTTTATTTCCATTAATGATATAAAAATGGGTGGGCATGGGAGGTGTGGATGGGCCTTTGGGCCCCGCTGGGCGGGCGCTGGGGCTTTACCTCCAAGGCAGATCCTCAGGGAAGTGACCAGATTACTGCTGAGGTGATTGAGCCCCTGGACTCACTATTGTTTGTGGACTTTGGCAATGGCATGGCTGGAGAAAGCCATTGCCTTTGCCCACGGGCTCTACACTGTGGACGCTGATGTGCTGGAGCCCATGGAGTCAGTCCTGGAGTACAGATGTCTATACCTGAGATCTGACAATGTAGAAGAGGGCAACTGTGTTGAAGAATTACAAAACTCCCATCACGTCGTGGAGAAGTATTTTGTGCTCCCTCGCCCACCTCCCACCCCCCCGCCCCGCCCCACCAGTAATGTCTCTGCCAAAGCTGGATGAACAAGAGCCTTTCCCACACAGCCAAGTAGCTCATTCTGGAAAGAGGGTACTCTGGGAACACATGGAAGCATAATGACAATATTTTCTTTACTGTGAACGCTAATCTACCTACTTTTTCTACTCACCCGAAAAATGGATACTTAAGCATTTTTTAATAACAGACTCTTCTGAAGAGAGAATTGGGAAAGATCCAACCCCAACAAGGTACTGAGTTCTTGATGCTAACTGAAGTAAAAGGAAAGCAAAAGTCAGCTTCCAAGGAAATAGCTTCTGAGGTATTCACTTAACAGGCCTGTTCCGTACAGAAGACACTATTTATCCCCCTTTACCTCCCTCCAAGCACTCTACCAACTGCATGAAAGTGAACTTTTCTGCCTACGTAACTAGTAGACGGAGTGTCTTGATCACTACGTGACAACCTTGGCTGTCATTTTTAGCTGCTATTTGTATTGATTTGAACAGCCCTGTCTTTACTGAACATACCTGAATTTGTTGCTAGGTACCCAATTTGTTCTTAGAAAAGGGCTAGCTTTCTGCTATGGTCTGAAGTGTTCAAAGTAGACTAGAGCTTGGAAACTCCTAATCTAGAACCGTCTGCCATCCCACAAAAGAATTATATGCAAAAGGGATACTAGTCATACCTAGTGTTTCTCTTTCTGAAAAGAGAACGTATCCTAAAAATAGCCCGGGGCCTGGGACAAAGTAGCTCTTCCAGCCCCAAAATGATTATTAAATTGAGAGGAGTCCAAGATTGTGGGGTATTTTGTTTTTTTGTTTTAAAACTCAGATACCAAGGATAAATGAAAGCTATTTAGCGATAAAAGTAATAGAGACTTTTTCCTCTAACCAAACTGCCAAAGTTGGTTTTGGCTAAGAATTTCCCAGTTGATCTTTGCGCTGCTGCTCATTTTTTTATTTTTCTGAGTCAGGGTCTCTCTCTGTCACTGGGCTGGAGTGCAGTGTTGTGATCATAGATCACTGCAGCCTCCAACTCCTGGGCTCAAGTGATCCTTCCACCTCAACCTCCTGAGTAGCTGGGACTACAGGTGTGCATCACCACGTCCAGTTAATTTTCATGTCCTCCTTTTCTTTTTAAGTAGAGATGGGGGTCTTGTTATGTTATCTATCTGCTCTTGAACTCCTGTCCTCAAGGAATCCTCTGACATGCCTTGGCCTCCCAAAGTGCTGAGATCACAGGCATAAGCCACCATACCTGACTTGCTACTCATTTTTAAAAGTCTATGTTTATTCTTCCCATTCACTTTTATCTGCAATGCTTCTTTTTTCTCTAAGGCAGCTTAATTTTTTTTATGTCTTCTTTTTTTTTATTGCATTTTAGGTTTTGGGGTACATGTGAAGAACATGCAAGATAGTTGCATAGGTACACATGTGGCAGTGTGATTTGCTGCCTTCCTCCCCTTCACCTATATCTGGCATTTCTCCCCCTGCTATCTCTCCCCAACTCCCCACCGCCTGCTGTCCTTCCCCTATTCCCTCCAACAGACCCCAGTGTGTAGTGCTCCCCTCCCTGTGTCCATGTGTTCTCATTGTTCAAAACCCGTAAGGCAGCTTAATTTACGAGCCAACATCAGAACAATTATTTTATTTTATTATTATTATTTTCTTATTTTTATTTTTTTTAAATATTTTATTGGATTTTAGGTTTTGGGGTACATGAGCAGAGCATGCAAGACAGTTGCGTAGGTACACACGTGGCAGTGTGCTTTGCTTTTCTTCTCCCCTTCACCCACATTTGGCATTTCTCCCCAGGCTATCCCACCCCACCTCCCCCTCCCACTGGCCCTCCCCTTTTCCCCCCAATAGACCCCAGTGTTTAGTACTCCCCTTTCTGTGTCCATGTGTTCTCATTTTTCATCACCCACCTATGAGTGAGAATATGCGGTGTTTCATTTTCTGTTCTTGTGTCAGTTTGCTGAGGATGACGTTCTCCAGATTCATCCATGTCCCTACAAACGACACAAACTCATCATTTCTGATTGCTGCATAATATTCCATGGTGTATATATGCCACATTTTTCCAATCCAGTCTATTATCAATGGGCATTTTGGTTGATTCCAGGTCTTTGCTATTGTAAACAGTGCTGCAATGAACATTCGTGTACATGTGTCCTTATAGTAGAACGATTTATAGTCTTTTGGATATATACCCAGCAATGGGAATGCTGGGTCAAATGGAATTTCTATTTCTAAGGCCTTGAGGAATCGCCACACTGTCTTCCACAGTGGTTGAACTAATTTACACTCCCACCAACAGTGTAAAAGTGTTCCTTTTTCTCCACATCCTCTCCAGCATCTGTTGTCTCCAGATTTTTTAATGATCGCCATTCTAACTGGCGTGAGATGGTATCTCAATGTGGTTTTGATTTGCATCTCTCTGATGACCAGTGACGATGAGCATTTTTTCATATGATTGTTGGCCTCATATATGTCTTATTTCGTAAAGTGTCTGTTCATATCCTTTGCCCACTTTTGAATGGGCTTGTTTGTTTTTTTCCTGTAAATCTGTTTGAGTTCTTTGTAAATTCTGGATATCAGCCCTTTGTCAGATGGGTAGACTGCGAAAATTTTTTCCCATTCTGTTGGTTGCCGATTCACTCTAGTGACTGTTTCTTTTGCCGTGCAGAAGCTGTGGAGTTTCATTAGGTCCCATTTGTCTATTTTGGCTTTTGTTGCCAATGCTTTTGGTGTTTTGTTCATAAAGTCCTTGCCTACTCCTATGTCCTGGATAGTTTTGCCTAGATTTCCTTCTAGGGTTTTTATGGTGCCAGGTCTTATGTTTAAGTCTTTAATCCATCTGGAGTTAATTTTAGTGTAAGGTGTCAGGAAGGGGTCCAGTTTCTGCTTTCTGCACATGGCTAGCCAGTTTTCCCAACACCATTTGTTAAACATGGAATCCTTTCCCCATTGCTTGTTTTTGTCAGGTTTATCAAAGATTGTATAGTTGTATGTATGTTGTGTTGCCTCCGGTGCCTCTGTTTTGTTCCATTGGTCTATATCTCTGTTTTGGTACCAGTACCATGCTGTTTTGATTACTGTAGCCTTGTAGTATAGTTTGAAATCCGGTAGTGTGATGCCCCCCGCTGTGTTCTTTTTGCTTAGAATTGATTTGGCTATGCGGGCTCTCTTTTGGTTCCATATGAAGTTCATGGTGGTTTTTTCCAGTTCTGTGAAGAAAGTCAATGGTAGCTTGAAGGGGATAGCGTTGATTCTGTAAATTACTTTGGGCAGTATAGCCAGTTTCACGATATTAATTCTTCCTAACCATGAAAATGGAATGTTTCTCCATCTGTTTGTGTCCTCTCTGATTTCGTTGAGCAGTGGTTTGTAGTTCTCCTTGAAGAGGTCTCTTATGTTCCTTGTGAGTTGTATTCCAAGGTATTTTATTCTTTTTGTAGCAATTGCGAATGGCAGTTCGTTCTTGATTTGGCTTTCTTTAAGTCTGTTATTGGTGTAGACGAATGCTTGTGATTTTTGCACATTGATTTTATATCCTGAGACTGCTGAAGTTGCTTATCAGTTTCAGGAGTTTTTGGGCTGAGGCAATGGGGTCCTCTAGGTATACTATCATGTCATCTGCAAATAGAGACAATTTGGCTTCCACCTTTCCTATTTGAATACCCTTTATTTCTTTTTCTTGCCTGATTGCTCTGGCTAGAACTTCCAGTACTATATTGAATAGGAGTGGTGAAAGAGGGCATCCTTGTCTAGTGCCAGATTTCAAAGGGAATGCTTCCAGTTTTTGCCCATTCAGTATGATATTGGCTGTGGGTTTGTCATAAATAGCTTTTATTACTTTGAGATACGTTCCATCGATACCGAGTTTATTGAGGGTTTTTAGCATAAAGGGCTGTTGAATTTTGTCAAATGCCTTCTCTACGTCAATTGAGATAATCATGTGGTTTTTGTTTTTGGTTCTGTTTATGTGGTGAATTACGTTGATAGACTTGCGTATGTTGAACCAGCCTTGCATCCCTGGGATGAATCCTACTTGATCATGATGGATAAGTTTTTTGATGTGCTGTTGCAATCGGCTTGCCAATATTTTATTGAAGATTTTTGCATCTGTGTTCATCATGGATATTGGCCTGAAGTTTTCTTTTCTCGTTGGGTCTCTGCCGGGTTTTGGTATCAGAATGATGTTGGTCTCATAAAATGATTTGGGAAGGATTCCCTCTTTTTGGATTGTTTGAAATAGTTTTAGAAGGAATGGTACCAGCTCCTCCTTGTGTGTCTGGTAGAATTCGGCTGTGAACCCGTCTGGACCTGGGCTTTTTTTGTGTGGTAGGCTCTTAATTGCTGCCTCGACTTCAGACCTTGTTATTGGTCTATTCATAGTTTCAGCTTCCTCCTGGTTTAGGCTTGGGAGGACACAGGAGTCCAGGAATTTATCCATTTCTTCCAGGTTTACTAGTTTATGCGCATAGAGTTGTTTGTAAAAATCTCTGATGATGGTTTGAATTTCTGTGGAATCTGTGGTGATTTCCCCTTTATCATTTTTTATTGCATCTATTTGGTTGTTCTCTCTTTTCTTTTTAAACAATCTGGCTAGTGGTCTGTCTATTTTGTTGATCTTTTCAAAAAACCAGCTCTTGGATTTATTGATTTTTTGAAGGGTTTTTCGTGTCTCAATCTCCTTCAGCTCAGCTCTGATCTTAGTTATTTCTTGTCTTCTGCTGGGTTTTGAGTTTTTTTGATCTTGCTCCTCTAGCTCTTTCAATTTTGATGATAGGGTGTCAATTTTGGATCTCTTCATTCTCCTCATATGGGTACTTATTGCTATATACTTTCCTCTAGAGACTGCTTTAAATGTGTCCCAGAGGTTCTGGCACGTTGTGTCTTCGTTCTCATTGGTTTCGAATAACTTCTTTATTTCTGCCTTCATTTCGTTGTTTACCCAGTCAACGTTCAAGAGCCAGTTGTTCAGTTTCCATGAAGCTGTGCGGTTCTGGGTCGGTTTCTGAATTCTGAGTTCTAACTTGAGTGCACTATGGTCTGAGAGGCTGTTTGTTATGATTTCAGTTGTTTTGCATTTGCTGAGCAGTGCTTAACTTCCAATTATGTGGTCAATTTTAGAGTACGTGTGATGTGGTGCTGAGAAGAATGTGTATTCTGTGGATTTGGGGTGGAGAGTTCTGTAAATGTCTATCAGGTTTGCTTGCTCCAGGTCTGAGTTCAAGCCCTGGATATCCTTGTTGATTTTCTCTCTGGTTGATCTGTCTAGTATTGACAGTGGAGTGTTAAAGTCTCCCACTATTATTGTGTGGGAGTCTAAGTCCTTTTGTAAGTCATTAAGAACTTGCCTTATGTATCTGGGTGCTCCTGCATTGGGTCCATATATGTTTAGGAACATTAGCTCTTCTTGTTGTATCGATCCTTTTACCATTATGTAATGGCCTTCTTTGTCTCTTTTGATCTTTGTTGCTTTAAAGTCTATTTTATCAGAGATGAGAATTGCAACTCCTGCTTTTTTTTTCTTTCCATTTGCTTGGTAAATCTTCCTCCATCCCTTTATTTTGAGCCTTTGTGTATCCTTGCATGTGAGATGGGTTTCCTGTATACAGCACACTGATGGGTTTTGGATTTTTATCCAATTTGCCAGTCTGTGTCTTTTGATTGGTG